TACCTGAGTTCTAGTAGGGACTGAGCACTACACAATCTTGAAGAATAGAGAATTTTATTTCAATTTTTACGTAGTAGCAGGTCCACCCGTACGCTATCAGACAATCGAAATTTTGTGAAATCGACAAAAAAAATTCATTTCTTAAAAATTTAATTATTCTAATCATCTGAAAATTACCTTAGTTCTAGTAGGGACTGAGCACTACACAATCTTGAAGAATAGAGAATTTTATTTCAATTTTTAACTAGTGGCAGGTCCACCCGTACGCTATCAGACAATCGAAATTTTTTGAAATCGACAAAAAAAATTCATTTCTTACAAATTTAATTATTCTAATCATCTGAAAATTACCTGAGTTCTAGTAGGGACTGAAAACGTCACAATCTTGAAGAATAGAGAATTTTATTTCAATTCTTAAGTAGTAGCACCCTCACCCGAACGCTATCAGACAAGCGAAATTTTGTGAAATCGACAAAAAAAATTCATTTCTTACAAATTTAATTATTCTAATCATCTGAAAATTACCTGAGTTCTAGTAGGGACTGAGCACTACACAATCTTGAAGAATAGAGAATTTTATTTCAATTTTTACGTAGTAGCAGGTCCACCCGTACGCTATCAGACAATCGAAATTTTTTGAAATCGACAAAAAAAATTCATTTCTTACAAATTTAATTATTCTAATCATCTGAAAATTACCTGAGTTCTAGTAGGGACTGAAAACGTCACAATCTTGAAGAATAGAGAATTTTATTTCAATTCTTAAGTAGTAGCACCCTCACCCGAACGCTATCAGACAAGCGAAATTTTGTGAAATCGACAAAAAAAATTCATTTCTTACAAATTTAATTATTCTAATCATCTGAAAATTACCTGAGTTCTAGTAGGGACTGAGCACTACACAATCTTGAAGAATAGAGAATTTTATTTCAATTTTTACGTAGTAGCAGGTCCACCCGTACGCTATCAGACAATCGAAATTTTGTGAAATCGACAAAAAAAATTCATTTCTTAAAAATTTAATTATTCTAATCATCTGAAAATTACCTTAGTTCTAGTAGGGACTGAGCACTACACAATCTTGAAGAATAGAGAATTTTATTTCAATTTTTAAGTAGTAGCAGGTCCACCCGTACGCTATCAGACAATCGAAATTTTGTGAAATCGACAAAAAAAATTCATTTCTTAAAAATTTAATTATTCTAATCATCTGAAAATTACCTTAGTTCTAGTAGGGACTGAGCACTACACAATCTTGAAGAATAGAGAATTTTATTTCAATTTTTAAGTAGTAGCAGGTCCACCCGTACGCTATCAGACAATCGAAATTTTGTGAAATCGACAAAAAAAATTCATTTCTTAAAAATTTAATTATTCTAATCATCTGAAAATTACCTGAGTTCTAGTAGGGACTGAAAACGTCACAATCTTGAAGAATAGAGAATTTAATTTCAATTTTTAAGTAATAGCAGGTCCACCCGTACGCTATCAGACAATCGAAATTTTGTGAAATCGACAAAAAAAATTCATTTCTTACAAATTTAATTATTCTAATCATCTGAAAATTACCTGAGTTCTAGTAGGGACTGAAAACGTCACAATCTTGAAGAATAGAGAATTTAATTTCAATTTTTAAGTAATAGCAGGTCCACCCGTACGCTATCAGACAATCGAAATTTTGTGAAATCGACAAAAAAAATTCATTTCTTACAAATTTAATTATTCTAATCATCTGAAAATTACCTGAGTTCTAGTAGGGACTGAGCACTACACAATCTTGAAGAATAGAGAATTTTATTTCAATTTTTAAGTAGTAGCAGGTCCACCCGTACGCTATCAGACAATCGAAATTTTGTGAAATCGACAAAAAAAATTCATTTCTTACAAATTTAATTATTCTAATCATCTGAAAATTACCTGAGTTCTAGTAGGGACTGAGCACTACACAATCTTGAAGAATAGAGAATTTTATTTCAATTTTTAACTAGTGGCAGGTCCACCCGTACGCTATCAGACAATCGAAATTTTGTGAAATCGACAAAAAAAATTCATTTCTTACAAATTTAATTATTCTAATCATCTGAAAATTACCTGAGTTCTATTAGGGACTGAAAACGTCACAATCTTGAAGAATAGAGAATTTTATTTCAATTCTTAAGTAGTAGCACCCTCACCCGAACGCTATCAGACAAGCGAAATTTTGTGAAATCGACAAAAAAAATTCATTTCTTAAAAATTTAATTATTCTAATCATCTGAAAATTACCTAAGTTCTAGTAGGGACTGAGCACTACACAATCTTGAAGAATAGAGAATTTTATTTCAATTTTTAAGTAGTAGCAGGTCCACCCGTACGCTATCAGACAATCGAAATTTTGTGAAATCGACAAAAAAAATTCATTTCTTAAAAATTTAATTATTCTAATCATCTGAAAATTACCTGAGTTCTAGTAGGGACTGAAAACGTCACAATCTTGAAGAATAGAGAATTTAATTTCAATTTTTAAGTAATAGCAGGTCCACCCGTACGCTATCAGACAATCGAAATTTTGTTAAATCGACAAAAAAAATTCATTTCTTACAAATTTAATTATTCTAATCATCTGAAAATTACCTGAGTTCTAGTAGGGACTGAGCACTACACAATCTTGAAGAATAGAGAATTTTATTTCAATTTTTAAGTAGTAGCAGGTTCACCCGTACGCTATCAGACAATCGAAATTTTGTGAAATCGACAAAAAAAATTCATTTCTTACAAATTTAATTATTCTAATCATCTGAAAATTACCTGAGTTCTATTAGGGACTGAAAACGTCACAATCTTGAAGAATAGAGAATTTTATTTCAATTCTTAAGTAGTAGCACCCTCACCCGAACGCTATCAGACAATCGAAATTTTGTGAAATCGACAAAAAAAATTCATTTCTTACAAATTTAATTATTCTAATCATCTGAAAATTACCTGAGTTCTAGTAGGGACTGAAAACGTCACAATCTTGAAGAATAGAGAATTTTATTTCAATTTTTAAGTAGTAGCAGGTTCACCCGTACGCTATCAGACAATCGAAATTTTGTGAAATCGACAAAAAAAATTCATTTCTTCCAAATTTAATTATTCCAATCATCTGAAAATTACCTGAGTTCTAGTAGGGACTGAAAACGTCACAATCTTGAAGAATAGAGAATTTTATTTCAATTCTTAAGTAGTAGCACCCTCACCCGAACGCTATCAGACAAGCGAAATTTTGTGAAATCGACAAAAAAAATTCATTTCTTAAAAATTTAATTATTCTAATCATCTGAAAATTACCTAAGTTCTAGTAGGGACTGAGCACTACACAATCTTGAAGAATAGAGAATTTTATTTCAATTTTTAAGTAGTAGCAGGTCCACCCGTACGCTATCAGACAATCGAAATTTTGTGAAATCGACAAAAAAAATTCATTTCTTACAAATTTAATTATTCTAATTATCTGAAAATTACCTGAGTTCTAGTAGGGACTAAGCACTACACAATCTTTAAAAATAGAGAATTTTATTTAAATTTTTAAGTAGTAGCAGGTCCACCCGTACGCTATCAGACAATCGAAATTTTGTGAATTCGTCAAAAAAAAATTCATTTCTTACATGGAGAGAAATATCTGGGCTTTTTAGCATGAAAGTTCTTCATACTACGATTGCAAGAGACCTATGCGATTTCGGTAAAAGTTTTCTGCAAAGTGATTGGTCGGCCCAGTCTCTGGGCGTGGCCTAATAGCCAGTTGCAAGAGTCTAATACCGAAAAAGCATAGGATTCTTGCAATCGCAGTATACTGTTTTGCAGTTATAGTATACTAACATTTCATACTTTTAAAATACAAAGCATTGATGCTATAAACGATTGATTTTTCTCTCCGTGTACAAATTTAATTATTTTAATCATCTGAAAATTACCTGAGTTTATAGAATTAAAACCAATTATAGACAAAAAATTTGAACTTTTAATAAAAATTCATTTTTTCTAAAAAATTATGTTGCTGTACAACAAAATGTTATTATTTATTGAAAAATGATTAAAAAATCTTATTCTTTGCATCAAGATGAATCGATTGATGTATATAAAGTGTATATTCTGTTGAAAATTATAGAATTAATTACAAGAAAGTTGAAAAATTCGCTTTTTTACTAAAAATTTTTTTGATTATTTAGATTCATATTACTGTATAAGAAAATGTTATTCTTTCTATTAAGAGGAATGAACTTTAATTTATTAATGTTAAATTGTATTAAAAATGAAATATATTTACCGTTAATTTTTTTTTGCTGATCGTAAACAGGAAGCAAAATGTTTATGTAATGAACATCTGGATTTACAGCTTGTTTATAATAATTATTAATAAATAATTTTTAATAAAAAAACTTTTGAAGTTGATGTACTTATGAAATTTGTAAACGCAACTCTTTTAAAATTGAATTAATTTTGAAATATTTAAGTAAAATTATTCATTAAATAATTTAAATGACAGTTGTTTAAGAATTAAGTTATTTAAAAAGAAATTATTGTCAGAAATAGAAAAAAATTGAAGGTTTTGTAATAAAATTCGTGGTGAAACAAAAAAGTCACCAAAATTGAGAATTTTCTTATGAATTCTAAAAATTTAATTGTTTCAGTACTTTTAATAAAAATTCCTGACTTTTCCCTGAATTCCCTATGTCAGAATATGTGATTATTATAGTTGCAATAGTATTAAAATTATATTCCAATTCATATTTTATTTTTATGAGAAAAATTTGAATTAAAAATTTTTAAATTTTATTATTTTTAAAATTCCTAATTTTATTTTAAAAAGTACGTTAGAAATTAGCCTCGCGAATTGTTGCTGGTTTGTAATAAGGTTGATGATTGCCAAAACTTGACAACTAAATTAGAAATAAAACTAAAAATCAAAATGTATTTTTTTGAATTTTGGTATTTATTTCTTATTAATGTTAAAACATTTGTTTAAAATTTAAATACAGTAAATAACAACATCTCTTTAGTTTACAATTATTATAATGAATGACACTGAAGAAAAACCAGAATTAATGGTCAACTTAACCAGAAATTCTGAACGAATAAAATTTTACTAAAAAATTGTGGTATGTTTAACCAGAAATATTTTACCAGGTTTTCTAATACTTTTAACTAGAAAAAACTAATAAGGGCATATTTAACATTTCTTTCTGGTTAAAATAACAAAAATTCTAGTTCTTTTAATTAGACGTTTTTTTTAGTTTCTAAAAATTAAGAAGGTTATTTCTAGTGTTTACAGAATTGTAAAATTCTAGAAGGAATTGATTAAGAAATAAATTCAGTTAAAATTTTAAATAATAATTGAATATTAGAAAAAAGTTTTAGTTGTACTAAATTAAAAAACATTTAAACAAATAATTCGGTTTCGAATTCGAATCATACTGTAAATCATTTCTATCTTCCAGGACCTATGCGGAAACCGCGTGGTCTTTCTGTTCCAATAGTCCTGAAAACTCTATTCCAAGTGCCTTCTTCTTGTTTAGGTATTTTTTCCTTTTCCATTTTTTCTTTCAAGATATTAATTGTTGCATTTTGAGATTGTAGAGTTTCTTCACTTTTTTTGTCAAATTCGCCTGCAGTAATATTGTTAACATTAAGTTTACATATTGAAATTAATACCGATGTCCTGTCATATAGTAATTTGACAATAGCCTCCAATAAAATATTTATTCTTCTTATTTTTCCTGACGGAATTATACTATCAATAAATTCAGTTAGACTGATTTTATTCTCTAAATTTTTCTCCACAATGAAGTCTTTCATAGTATTATCACTCTCTTTCAGAATTTTAATTTTAGAATTTGCATCAGAATTATCCAATGAAGAAATATCAATATGTCTGTAGATGTCTTCAAAACTGGACATTTTTTGCAATAATACTTCTCTATCTAACGACTTTTTCAAATAATTGTAGGTTTCATTGTACCTGTTATTCATTAATGAAATTAAATTTAAAAAATCATTCATATTCAGTAAATCATCATTAGTCTTTTGCAGGCAATTTTTCGAGTTGACTGAAAATGTAAAACCTATATCCTGATGGAATGGCTTGCGTATGCTATCGCAGTTTTTAATAGCTGAAATAATATTATCATCGATAGCAGAAGTAACTTTCCCTAATTTTTTCACTTTCCTGAAGAAGGCGACGCGTTGGTTATTATTTATTAGATGCCGTACAAAGTCTTTTGAAACTTCTGATATATCCAATTGTGAACTTGATAATAAATTTGTATTTAATTTATAATTTAGGAATTCAGAATCGACTGGATAATTATTATTAATTTGATCAGGTGCTTTTGATATAATTACTGATATACTTGGGAAAATATCTTTTAACCTGTTATTAAAATATCCTTCTAAAGTTTTTAAAAGTGATAAAATCTGATTAACATTTCCACTAGTAATTTCGCCATAGCTGATAACTAAAATAAGTTTGAGAGAATCTACTTTTTTTGTCAAATGATAGAGATGAAAGGCATTATTTATATCTTGCATTTCATTTCTATTGTCCACAAATCCAGCGGTATCCCAGATGTCCAAATTCTCTAATTCTGTCCTTGTTGAGTTCCATTTTGTGGGAATTGTAGTCACTGACACTGATCCGGCACCAATTTCTGGTCCTGGACTATTTTCATTAGCTTTTCTTATTTTAATTTCATCATTCTTTTTATAAGCTTTCAATTCATTTCCCATTAAGTAATTAATTAGTGTACTTTTGCCACATCTTGCATTGCCTAGGAGAATTGCCGCATTTTCATTTTGATTTCGAGTTGCTAATTCCATATCACGTTCCGACTCATTGAAAAGTCGTTTTAATTCAGTTACCTCATTAATACTAAAGGAACAACTTTTGATTTCAATAATGGAAATTAGTAAGAAGATTATTGCAAGTCTTATCATGATTGTTAAAGATGATTGTTACTTTTCCCAGATGATGTTTAAATGTACTCGCCCACAAACACTAATACAATCTGTAAATATTACTAATAAAATAATTCGAATAAATATTAATTTGATTTTTAAAATTGTAAATTCTTACTGCCTTGGTGTCAAAATTCGTATATATTTAATACACAGGAATAATCAGACGAACTGCACTATTTCTTTTTTGTTTCAAACTTTATATACTGTTCATGTTGAATATTATTTGAAATATCTCAAATTATCCAATAGAAAATGTACAGGTGGAACGAATTCAGATTGGGAATTTACAGATTTGTAAAGAAAAATTTTATTTATTTGTAAATAGATAGAATGAACATAAATAAAATATTTTCCTTAAAAATTATGAAATATTCTAAAAACCTAATGTTTTATATATATATTCTTCGCAAAATTATAATTACTTTCATAAAAGTAATAAAATTTTATTTTTCTTTAAGTTTCTAGAGCTTTTGGACGTTTCTTTTATCTTTTTATTGAACATTTTTCGGACATGTTAGTCAAAAGTTATTATTGACATTTGAAAAATTAGAAATTTTGAAAAAATAACTTTTTGTGGATTCTTTGTTCTAAATTTGCAATAATATACGGAAATAATGCAATAGGGGAGACTGGGGTAACCCCGTTCACTGTTTGTCAGATCGGTAAAAATCTAGAAAATTATTCTCTAAATCCAAGTTAATTTTTTTAAAATGCATTAAATATAAATTAATATTTATGTCCAGTAAATATTTTCTTAGCACAAATAAATCAAAATAAATAAGTTTAATTGCAACCGAGCGAGCATGTACCTATAAAAATTTTTTAAAATGTAATAGAAAGGAAAGGATTTGTTTTTATTTATTGAGGGCAAAACTTTTCACATTGAGAGACTATTATGTTTTTAATAACCATTGATTTTTTATTATATATGAAATATTTTTATAAAATATAAATGTTTTTTTTTTTAATAAACTCTGGATAAAATTTATAATTATTCTGTATTCGGTTCCATTATATCTCGTGTATGTTTTGTTTTCTTGAATAGAATTTATTCAATAGCTGAAAACTGTATTTTTAATTTAATTAACAAATGCGTCATTTTTTCAATTATAAAATAAACAAAAGTATAAAAGATGTAAAAGAGTTTGATGTTTTTGGTTTTATTTGTTAATTGAGCTTAGAGTGTTTTTTAAAGGGTTAAATAATGTGTTATTATAATAATTTAAAAACACACCTTTCAAGCTGTGACATATATTTACTTCATAATGATCTCTTTAACAATATGTAATAAAAATAAAAGTCTTATAATTTTTCACCTAACGCTTATTCTTTTGATATGGTCATAAAAAAAATATGGTGAGAGGGTTAAGGAATATTGTCCATTTCTTATCTTGGTAAAATTCAATAAACGTAACTCTGAGTTATTTTATTTCTTTTTTTTTATATCAGACTATAAGAATATGAGTAATTTATATTTAAAAAAAAACTTTTTTTATTTTTTTAAATTATAAAATAATATTTGTAATATTATTTTAATATTTATTAGTATTTTTTTTACATGTTTTGATAAAATTATCTTTTTAACATATTTTATTTGTGGTAAATTTTTATTTTATTCAAGTAATTAAAAATAATAAATTGTTCAAGTTATTAATTGAGCTAATTTTAATTATTAAGTTTCAATGTGAAAAGTTTTCATGAGAAATTAATATGTGATTGAGGTAAATTGACTAGAATTAATGTTCAAATAGTTTGTTACTATTTTCTCTTCTTCTTTTCTTTACTTTTTTTTTCTTTTTGAAATTCGATTCTAAGTTGAGATCAAAAATCTTTTTCGAAATATGATTTTAAGAGCTTGTTTACTGAAACGTGTAAAGAATATCCAATATATTAAAGTTGGAAAAGTTTTTTTTTCTATTCAAAGTTAAGTAACTATAATAAAACTCGGATACAACTCCAATATCACTTATCAAAAAGTTTCCAAATTTTCTACTTTCTGGACTCTCGAAATTCACTTCCTTAAAGTAAAAGAGCATAAGGGCTTAATAAAACGTTCTCTTTATCTCACGGGAAGTGTATAGAAAATTTAGTTTTCTGGTTTTACTAAACAGAATGATTTTTTTTACACAAAAGAATATTTTCTTCGAAAAAAAATATTTCTAATCTTTTTTGAAAAAAAGTTTCTAAAAATTGGACGTAAAAAATATTTTTTTTTTTCAAGAAATGTTTTAAAAATATTTTAAAAATAAAATTTCTATTTTCTAAAACATTCTTTTGAAAATAAAAAAAAATTTCTAATAATTAGACATAAATTTTCTTGGGAAGTTAATAAATCCTTTTAATGGTTTGCGATTGGCTTTAGAGCTTTGAGTTTATTGTTACCATTTGACTTATCTGGACTCCTCTTTTTATACTGAGAAAAGGTTTCCTTTCTTTCAAACAAAAGGGAATTTTCCATTTCCGTCCACAATAATTCTTATGGTATCCATTCCGTTGAAAAATAAAAGGAAAAAATGTGTAAAAATAGAAGAATATTTGTCAATATAAATTAATTGTAATAAATAAAAAATTTATTTATTTTGCATTATTTTTGTTTATGAATTACAATTATTTAACAAAATTATTATTTTGTTTTAGAAAAAGAAGAAAAATATTTGCACAATTTCTATTTTTAATCTTATTTTTGGAACAGGATTTTTCACAGAAATTAAGACATTCAAAATATTTTAAATTCAAACCTTTTTGAAATTAAACAAATTATAAAAAATTGTTATAAAACATGAAGATATCGATTGCTCCGAGTCGAAGACTCGGAGTGATCGATTTCTTCATGTTTTCTAATAATTAAAGATGACCGAGAGATAAAATCATTATTTTTTATTACAAGAATATTGTTACTCTAACTTCATTAAAATTATTTTCATCATTTTAATTCAATTATTATTTTCTAAAATTTTAAATTATTTTTTTTTATGAAAATAATAATTGAATTCCTTAAAAAAATTTTATTATTTAAGAAAATAATTGAATTTCTGTGAAAATTTTATTATTTATGAAAATAATAAAATTTTTGCATACAATTTTATTAAAATTTTTTTTAAATAATTGAATTCGTTTTGGGAAATTTTCGAAATTTTATTAAAATAGTAGATTTTGAAAATCATTGAAATTAGAAAAATTTTTGAAAATAATTGAAATTAGGGCAAGAATTTTTTAGATATTTATGAAAATAATTGAACTTTGGAGAAAATTTTTGTTAAATTTATAAAAATAATTGGAATTTTTTTAAAATTTTGAACATAGTTGAATTTTATAAGAAGAAAATTGAATTTTTTTTAGTGTTTTGAACAAAAATTTAAATTAGAAAATTTTTAAATTCTATTATTTTTAAAATTGTTAATTTTATTTTTAAAAAAAGTTAGTAGGAAGTTAGCCATTAGTTATTGCTGCTAGTATATATTAATTGTAAAGAAAATCTATTTTAATTGTAAGAAAATTAAGTTTTTTATTAAAATTTATTTTTTATAGTAATAATAATAGAACAAATATTACGATTCTATTGTATAAATACTTTAAAAGATCTATAAAGAGTTTTTAGAATTCTTTTTGCCGAAAAAGAGTAGAAATTTCGATAAAGGACAACAAAAATTGTGACTTGAAAAGAAAGTCGATTAAAGTATAGGAAAAAAAAGGAAAAAAAATATAATAAGGGCAGAAAGTTGCGAAATGTCGATAAGAATATAAAAATGAAGGAGGAGAGAAAAAAATATCTGCAAAAACTGAACAAATATTTGAAGGGAATCTAAAAAGTAGGTTAACAAGGGTAGGAATCTTTCTCTAAAAAACATGTCCTTTGAGTTATCCATTTTTAAAAGATTCATGGAAAATTTTTCATGAGATTTCAAAATATTGACTTTTTAATGTGGAGAAAAAAGTTATATCCTGGTAGTACAAAGATAATGATATAATCGAATTTTAATTATCAAAACCAAGTAATTACTTATTCGATTTAATTTAAATTGGATTTAAATTTCAATTAATGAAAAGTCACACTGCGTTTTTTTTTTTCTATTCGAATATTTTACTCGAAAATTTTTATATATTTTTTACTTAAAAATCGAAATAATTTATTTTAAATTTTTTTAGTATTTAAAATATTTAAATACCTATATTACTTGTGAGTTAATAGAAATTTTGATTTTCTTGTTGCAAACGACAAAAATAATAAATATATATTATCAAAGTAATAAGCATAAAAATTGAAAATATATCGAACAAAGGAAATGTAAATATCGAGTGAAAGTCAAAATTTTCCACTTGCTGAATAAAATGACATGATTTTACATTTAAAAAAACTAACAATAAGTATTGATTTTCTATATAGAATTCGAGGAAAAATGAACGATTTTAACCGACAAATCCTTCGATTGATAATAAGTAAAAGAAGAATAAAAGTTTTATCAAGAAAATTCAAATGAATTCATCCTTTGGAAAAGTGACTATATAATACATTCATTTTTCTATGAGGAAGCAATATGAAAAAAACTTTTTCTGTTTCGAAAAATAAAATGTGATGAATCAAGAAAATAATGAGTTTTTCCATTATAAAAATGAAACAACAACAACAGCAACAACAACAACAACATTATCGATATTGCATTTGAAATTATTAATAAAAAATATAAGTAAAATGTATCGTGTGAAAAATTATACGGAAATTTTCCGTAAATTTAATATAACGGATGAGGATATTGACTATATTAATAGTATGAGTTATGCAAACGAAACAAATGATGATGATGATGAGACAGTGACAACGCAAATAGATTGTTATTGTAGTGGTGCTGCGAGAGATTTGGCAATATTGTATAAAGCCTATCATGGGTATGTGGCACTTGTGGTTTGTGTATTTGGTACAGTGGCAAATATTTTGAATATTATGGTACTGACCCGAAAAGATATGGTTGTTGCGCCAATTAACAGAATTCTAACTGGTCTTGCCAGTGCAGATATGTTGGTAATGGTGGAATATATTCCATTTGCAATATACGTCTATTTAGTTCTACCGGAAAACAAGATTTTCCCCTATGGCTGGGCTGTATTTGTATTATTTCATATGCATTTTTCCCACGTATTGCATACAATAAGCATTGCTCTTACGCTTACTTTGGCTGTCTGGAGGTATATTGCTATTCGGTGAGTTTGGCACTATTAATAATTTTACAGATTTTCCTTTGTTCTATTTTCTTTCTTTTGTTTCGATTTTTTCGCTGGTTGATTAATTGGTTATTTTTTTTTTGGTGATTAACGGTTTTCTTTGTTTGATTATTCCTTTATTTTTTTGTAGGAGGTTTATATTTGAATGAATGGAGAATTACGAGAATCTTGAGATTCAATATGGAGATGCTATTCTCCAACTGCGAACGCCAAGGTCACCGCTAGATGGCAGTTCAGTTTTCACCACCTAGTGGCGACCTTGGCGTTCTCAAGTGGAGAAATTAAACCATCATTTTATCACCTAACAAATTTAATTTTTCTTTCAGTAAAATTAGATTAATTAGTAGAACATTCTACTTAAAATTATAAATTAAATTTTTCATAACTATAAAACATGAAGAAATCGATTTTTTTTTTATAAATTTCTTCATGATAATTAATTAAATTAATTAATAATAATTAAAGATGACCAAGTTATAAAATCATCGTTTTTTTATATTATAACAATATTGGTACTGTAAATTCTTCAAAATTATTTTCATCATTTTAATTCAGTTATTATTTTCTAGAATTTGAAATTATTTTTTATGGAAATAATAATTGAATTCCTTAAATTTTTCCTAAAATCAATTATTTTTAATAATTTTTAAAAAAGTTCTTTAAGAATTTTCAAATCTATTTGTTTATAAAAAAATTAATTCTACAGAATTCTTAGTTAAATGTATGAAAAATTCAGATTTTAAAATATTTTAAATTGAAACGTTTACAAAATTCAATTATTTCTGAAAATTACAATTATTGTTGACTTATTCAATTATTATCTGCATCTTTAACTGAAATTAATTTTTAAATAAATTTTTATTAACAAATTCAACGAGAATTCAATTATTTAAATACAAAAATAAATAAATTTTTTGAATAATTGAATGTTTCTTTAAATTGAATTCTCATAAAGAATTTTATCTACAAATTTTTAAATAATTGAATTCTTTTGACGAATTTTAATAAAATTTTTAAGAATGATTCACATTTTTCGAACAATTTTATTAAAATTGTATTAAAAATTAATTGAAATTCTACAATTAGTTTTATATTATTTATGAAAATAATTGAATCATTGTAAAGAAAATTTTATTATTTATGAAAATAACTAAATTATTGCAAAGAAATTGATAAAAAATTGTTACATAATTAAATTCATGTGGAATTTTTATTATTTTATAGAAATAATTAAATGTTAGCGTAGAATTTTATTAAAATTTTTTTAAGTGATTGAATTCTTTTGAAAAATTTGATTAAAATAGTAGATATTAAAAATCATTGAATTGAGGAAAATTTTTGAAAATAATTGAAATTTTGCAGAGAATTTTATCAATATTTTTTTAAATAATTGAATTTATAAGAAGAATTTCATTAAAGTTTTTTAAAATAATTTAATTCTTGTAACGAATTTTATTAATATTTTCAAAAATAATCGACTTCTTACAAAAAACTTTATTAATTTTTTTTAAATAATAGAATTCTAGCGAAAAAGTTTATAAAAATCATTTTTAATAATTGATTTTTTTCGAAAAATTTTATGAAAATTGTGTTTTAAAATAATTTAATTCCTGTAAATATTTTAATATAATTATGAAAATAATTGAATTCCACAAACGAATTTTACTATTTACAAAAATAATTGAATCCCTGTAAAAATTTTATATTATTATTAAAATTTTTGAAAATAATTGAAATTTTTCAGAGAATTTTGTCAACATTTTTATAAATAATTGAATTGATAAGAAGAATTTTATTAAAATTTTTAAAAATAATTCAATTCTTGCAACGAATTGTATTTTACTATTGTTATTAATATTTAATTAATTACAATTAAGAATTTAACGGTCTCTTTTAATTGTCGACTTTAAAAGCAAGTTTAATTGGATTTTAGAAGTTAAAATACTTTGAGTTCACGGGACGCATGAATATTCCCGAGATTTTATTTGACATAAAATAATTTAACATAAAATAATTTAACATAAAATAATTTAACATAAATTTTAGTTTACATAAATATCATTTGATGTGAAATTTATTTGACGTATAAATTTTATTGGACATGAAATTTATTTTGTCATAAATTTCATTTGACATAACAATCATTTGGGATAAATGTCATTTAACATAAAATTCTTTTGGCGTTAATTTTATTTGATATAAAAATTACTTGACATCAATTTAAATTGACGTAAAATTCGTTTAACATAAATTTCATTTGACATTAAATTTATTTGGCATAAAATTCATTTGACATAAAATTCATTTGACATAAAATTCATTTGACATAAAATTTATTTGACATAAAATTTATTTGACATAAAAATGGCTGGACATCAATTTTATTTGACATGAAATTCATTTAACGTAAAATTCGTTTGACAAAAAGTTCATTTGACATTAAATTTATTTGGCATAGATTTCATTTGACGTACATTTTATTTGATATAAAAGTCATCAGCAAATGTCAAATAAGAATTATGTTAAACAACTTTTGTGTCAAATCAAATTTTCGACAAATAAATTTTATGTTATTAAATTAATTTTATATTACCTAAATAATATTTATATTAAGTTATTTGTGTGTCAAATGGAATTTATATTAAATACATTTTATTTCTAATGAAATTTATGTTAATTAGCAAATTTGCTAATTACTTTCATGTCAAATATTCATACGTCTGGAAGACACCACGAGTTTTAATACAAAATCAAGGCCAGGAAAATATCAGGAAATTTTATCAAAAGTATTAAAAAAAATTATTATTTATAAATTATTTTGTGAATAATTTTATTTAAAAATTTAGAAAATTATATATTTTTAAATTTTTATTCATAATACAAGAGAAAAAAAATTAAAAAACTTTGTATCAAAAATAAAGAAATATCAAACACTTTCAAACATAATTGAAAAATATAAACTAAAAATAACTAAAAAAACTAAAATAAACTGAAAAAACTAAAAAAATACGTAAAGCGATATTAATAAAAAAAAAAGAAAAATAAAGATCTAAAGTTGGTTAACTTAAAGTGTCACTATTAGATTTTCCTGTAACATTATTCCACGCATGGAGAAACTGCAAAAATGTTATCGATTAAACTTCACTTACTGTAAACAGGTTGTGTTATATCGAAACTTTACTTTAAAATACAAAAAAAAGAAAACTTTATATTACTAAAAGGACTTTCATGTTTAAAAAAAGCTCGATGTATAAAAAAAAGCTTCATTTTCTTCTCAAAAGTTTTTTTTTTGGTTCCCATAAAATTAAAATATTTCGAGACTTATTTACAAAATCTGTATATATAATTTAATAAAATCCCTTTGAAAGTAGAAAGGAAAAAAAAGTTGTTTACACAATTTTTGAAATATTTAAATAATTCGAGATTTACTAAAATGTGAAAATTACAAATGTTTCATAAGCTTTACAGAATTGTAAATAATTATCTCGTTTAATATGAGAAAAACTTATACACTGAAAAAAATAAAATCTCAAAGTTAGAAGAAAATTCCGCTTAACAATTATTTTTACATTTTATTTTTAATATGCGAATATTCATTTACAAAAAAGAGGAATTTTTGTTTATATTTAAAAGTTTTTTAACTAAAAGATGAATTTTAACCTTTCTTCTTTGATTGAAATTATTCCTCTCAAATTGAAACAAATTTATACTAGAAAGAAGATTTTTAAGTTGTTTTTTGTTTTTCTGAACGCAGCTTCAAACTGTTTAAAAAGTGACATTTAATATAAAATATAAAAGAGGAAAATCCTCTCAATTAGAAATGAAAACTTTAGTGCCCATATGTAAGAGGAAAAAATGCTGCAAAAGAAGAGGAATAGTCTAAAATTGAAATTATTTTTTTTTCGGTGTATGATTGCTGGAGTTAGTGACATTTCTTTGAACTGAAAAATATGATTTGTCATATAGTTTCAAAGCGAAAATATGCGCTTTATTAAATTTTTTTTCTTTTTTAAAAAAAAATTGTGGGAGTTTGAAAATGTTTCGTGAAGAAAAAATTAAATACTGCATATTTTATAAACATTTAAAAGTTTGTTAAATCTATTTTTATTTATTTAACATGTTATTAAAAATTTTTTTAAAAAGTTTACAATTCTCTGTGAATATTATACATTTTATTTATCAAAGTTTAATCTGTAGTTTTGCAGAAATAAAAGTGAGAGGGAGAGAGAGATAGGGTTTGAAAAATATGATTTTCTTATCAAATAGATCAGTAATTATATTTTTCTCGTGGAGTACAAGTTTTTTGTGACTTATTTCTTAATTAAGGGCGATAGCTCTATAAATTTATATAAAACTAGGTTTAAATTTGCTTAGAGATGTGAAAAAAAGATAAAAAGAAAAATGAAAATGAAAATAAAAATAAAAAAGAAGTAACGTATGAAAGTATGAAAAGAAAAAAATCAATGTTTCTATCACATTTCCAATCAAATCATTGGAAAATAAAGTTAAGACATGGAAAATCAAATTAAAATCCAATCTGGTAAAAGTAAAATCGTGTTAATTTCATCAATTCTCTAAAGTAATTTTGTTTAAATTATTATGATTAAAAAAATGATTGTTTTTTTTGTGTTTAATAAAATTCAATTTGTTTCTAATTTCAAAAAAAAAAAAAAAATGATTTTTTTATCTTGTAAAATTTTAATCTTTAGGGTCGTTATTGGTATTTTTACTCCCAGAGAAAAATTTTGATTTAAACCAAATATAATTTATTTGAGTGAAATAAAAATCTTATTCGACATAAATAAAACATTTATTTAAACCAAATAAAATTTATTTGAAACAAATAAAATATATTTAAAACAAATAAAAAGTCTGAGTCAAATATATTTCTTTCTAGGTGTACTATTATTTTTCTATGACCTTTACATTTTGTTAAAACAAAAGATTCGACAGTAGGGTAACTGCACCAATTGCCGAGGGTGCTCCAATTGTCGAGGATAATAATTTTCTTTTTTAGATAAATAGTATAATATATAATATTTAAGGACAAAAAAAATTTCTAAATAATCTTTGTATTTTCAACTGTATATTTATATATACAAATTTCGTAGCGATTCTACTAAAATAATTATTTAATTAATATTATAATTCACTGCTGTGAAATTTACACGAATCTCCGTTTTCTTAATACTTCAGATTGATTGGAACAGATTTTTAGAAATGCAAATTAAACGTATTTATAATGACTTTTTGTGTACAAAATTATTATTATAATTTTGTACAAGAACCAAATTAATTTTGTATGCATGTTTTTTTGTTAAAAAAAATATTTAATATTTTTTAAAAGCAAATCATCGGTATTTGGTTCCTTTTTTTTGACAGTTCCATTTTTCGAGGTAATGACTCGAAAATTGGTGTAGTCACTTTTTTCGCTGATGCACCATTTATCGATGGTTAAGTGTTTATTTACTAAACGTCAAACATAAATGCCAAACATTTATAGGTACAGAGAAAAAGAAAAAAAATGCTCAAAAAATTTACAACCAACAGAAAATAATCAACCAAAAAAACGAGGAAAAAAGACCGAAAAAAAATTAATAAAAAAATGCATTATTTAAAACTAAAAAATTTTGTACTATAGTTTAATTATAATTAACCATTATATTTACAGTTCGTAATAAAAGTTTATTTTATTCGTTTACAAATTTAATGTGACTTAAATTAATTTATTTTTTCAATTAATGTCTGATTAACAAAATTGATTAAATTTAATTAACTTATATTTATAAAAGTTTAAAAAACAGTTAAATAATTTTCTGTCCTGTATCATCTACTATAAAAATGTTTTATATCGATATTATAAATTATTTAATTATAGTTAAATAAATATATTTGTTTTCTGGTAATGTTCTATAATATTTTTATCGAAAAAATAAATATCTACTCGATTTTCTAATATCTGTACAGGTTAATTGTTAGGTTATATTGGGTTATATGTTTAAAAATGTCATACCCTCGACAATTGGAACAGACCCTCGAGAAATTAGCACAAGACCATCGACAAATGGTGCTTTTGCTCGATTGACTTTTAAATATATTTTTTGCTTAACAATTTAGTTTATATTAAAAAAATAAAAATGAATATTAAACATTATTAGATCCTTCGTCCAAATATACAAAAATCAAATTTTAAAGTGCATTTACTTCCGAGAAAAAAAATGTCAAAGTCACATGTTGCCTAAAACCCTCGACAATTGGTACAGTTACCCTATACCTTAAAAAGATTTTATAACTTTAGAAGTTTCAGGTAATTATATAATTTTCTATAGTTACAGAATTTGAAGTTTGTAAAAAAGAAAAATTGAATTTATTTTTTTGTTATATTCCCGTCATTGTGGAGTTATAAAATCCTCTTTAAAGACGAAGTAAATTGTTAATAAATGAGGTCTTCACAAACTGAAATTGCTTTGAAACAGTTAAACTCGAGAACTCTCTGTCTTTAATCAAGAAACATCCAAAGCGCCTTAATTGTCCTTAATTTCGAAAATGTGAGCCATCTAATTGAAATACTTTTATTGAAAAAGATTTTTTTTTGTTTGTTAAACTTAGATTTGATATATTTTCAAGAGTATTATTTAGCTTATATATATATATATACATATTGATTTCTTAAAGTAACTGACAAAAGTTACTACTTACAGTGAAAATGAAAATTAGAGCTGAGGAGGAAAACTGAATTGTAATTTAAATTCAATTAATTGCATTTGAAAGAAAAAGAATTATTTAATAATAATTTTCAGAGCGGAAGTTAATGAAGAAAGCTCTTTTTAGTTCAATATTCATGACTGACTGTATTGTTCATTCTGTTCTTGAAAGAAGTTTAAGAAAAGAAGTTTTTAATTTTCTCTGTAACTTCTTTCTTAAATGAAATGAATTAAAATGGCTTAAAATTTACTCTTGATTATAATAATTTATTCAGGAGTCAATTAATTTTCTATTTATTGAATGTACGTATAAAAAAAAATTTATTTTACTCAGAGCTTATTGTTTATTTGATTTTTTCAAATAAATTTTATTTGATTCAAATAAAAAGTTGTAAGAAATTTGTTTTAATTTTAAAAAAATACTTTTACTTCAAACGAATAAATAATAATCTGATATACGCTTTGTGGTTGACAAAATTAGACTTTTATTTGACTCAAATAAATTATATTTGGTTCAAATAACTTGATTGTTATTATCCTTTTGTGGTCGTTTTTATTTTCAATAATTTAATATCAAAGGACGTTAAAGATTATTAATATTCAAATAAATTTTAATCTATTTCAAATAAACTTTATGTGGTTTAAATAAATTTTATGAGCTTTAAATAAAAATTGTTTTTTTAAACAAATAAATAATTTATTTGACCCTATAAGAAATATACTTTTATTTGACTCAAACAAATTATATTTGTTTCAAAAAAAATATGGGTGCGCTATTTTATTTACTTAAATAAAAATTATTTGATTTATGTGAAAATTTATTTGATATTTAAATTTATTTATTATAATAGACAACTAATCGGTTATGTAAATCATATAAATTATTTTTTTCAGTGTTATTTATTTGATTTAAATAAATCATTTTTTTTATTAATGTAAGTCATTTTTTCGATTTAAGTAAATCATTTTTTTTTGATTTAAATAAATCACTTTTTTTATTTAAATAAAACATTTATTCTTAACAAATATTACAAATAAAATTTTTGTTTAAATAAAATGAAATTATTGTTTCAATTAAATGACATTTTTGTTTAAATTGAATAAGATTCTTATGTAAAATAATATTTATATTAATTAAATTAATTTTAAATTAAATTAAATTTCTGTTTAAGTAAAATTTTGTGTGAAATAATAAAGAAAATAAAATTATTATTTTTTTAAATAAATTATATTTGTAATAAATAAATTTTTTAGTAGTTAGTAGACTTTGGCACAAATACATATTTTTTTGGTTGTGTGTAACGTCACGTTAATTAATTAAACTTGTATAATTACTATCAAAAATAATTTTTTTGTCACTTTATAAATATGTGAAAATTTTATTTTTTTTTTCAGATTCCCACAATATAATCACTGTTGGTGCACAGCTGCTCGATGTCGTTTGGCACTGTGGTGTAGTTTTCTGGTTCCTATTATTGTCTGTTCTCCGGCTTATTTAATTTTTGGAGTGAGTATTTCCTCTCTGTTAACGAGGACAATTAACAATTCATTGTGAACAATGGTAATAACATTATGTTCTTTTATTTTTACTAAATTTTTAATTTTTGTAAATTTTATTCATTTTTATTATGTAAAATTAAATACTGTTGTATATTTTTTGTATAATTATAATATAAATATAATGTATTTCAATAATATTTATATTTATAATGTAAATATAATATGTTTCTGTATTATTTATATTTTTAATATAAATATAATATAAAATTTATAATATTTATATTTAGAATATTTACGTTTATAATATTTATACACCCAGAGAAAAATTTTATTTAAACCAAATATGTATTTATTTATTTATTTATTTATTTAAATAGATTTATTTATTTATATAATATTTTTGAGTAAAATAAATGTATATTTTTCTCAGAGCCAACTATAGATTATTTAGTTGTTTTTAATAAATATTTTTTTTGACACAAATAAAATCTCTATTAGAGTAAAAAAGATTTTGTTTGAACCACAGAAAATTTTTATTTGAGTAACAAAAAATTTTTGAAGCAAAGAAAATTTTTATTTGAATAAAAAAAATTTTTACCCAAAGAAAATTTATTTGATAAAAGTGAACAATGTAATTGGCTTTGGGTCAATTATATTTTTTTCTGAGTGTAATTTTTAGTTTAATAAAAGTTAATTAACATGTTTATAATTTTTACATTTTCAGTATTCATATTTAAGTAATGTAATATATTTTTTTAATAAGTATTTGTAATTTATTTTTTATTTTTCAGTTTTTTACTCTTTAATTTTTTTTCAAGTGTTTTTTCAGGAGTATTAAAATATTTTTATTTAAAAGAAATTGTATTTGACAAAACTTTTTTATTGACATCAGGTAATTATTTATAATCATATAGAAAACAAATATTTTCACAAAAGTCAAGTAATTGATTATTTGAATAAAGGGAAGTGTTTTTTATCAGTTTTGAAACTAAGAGGATAGTGTGATAAAGCAAACAAAGAGTATTATATTTTAAGAATACTTAATACAGTTTTTAATGGAATAAGTTATAGGAGATTATTTTGAAAGAGATAATTATTATTTTCTTGATTTTATTGAAAGAGATTTTCTTTTCTTGATTTTATTGAATGAGATTTTTTATTTTTCTTTCTTATTAATTTCAGATAAGAAGGCAACGTGAACAGGGGACGAAGGAAATTCTTTATCATGTCGATGCAAATTATTCAGGCGGAAGAAATGGATTTCTCTATCAATTGAATTTTTGGATTATTAGCGTATTTGTTAAATTACTGCCATGCGTTATATTGACAATTATTAGTTGTTGGTTGATAAAAGCACTCTACAGGTAAGATATATAGAAGAAGATAAATCTTATTTGTCTGTTCTGTTTTTTTTTTTTTTTTTTTTTTTTTTTCAGTTTGTCCTTTTCTCAAGGCCAATATATACATATGCATATATTAGCATATAACTATACGATTCCCTTGATATTTTGTACAAGGCAGGAATTTGAAACGAGAATACTGTCTTTCACTATAAAAATGAGAATGACATTGAGCGACTTGAGAATTTCAATAAGGTTTCCAAAATATCTTTCCCTTTCTCCCTATAATTTTTTTTTTTTTGTGCATGCGAAAATATACGAGGCGTGAGAAGAATCTCTCTATTAGAGTATTGACAATTTTATTTTTTATTTGCACAAATGCTTGAATTGCATTTTTACGTTTCTCTATTTCTCTTTATCATTTACCTGTCTGGTTACAATGACTTTTTTTGTTTTATTTACTAACCAAGTTCATTTCGTTATTTCTCTTGTTCTACAGAATATTTTTTTTTGTTTTTTTTTCAATGCTCGAGATTCTTTTGTTTTTAATCTATCAATAATTGATCATGTCGAACTAAAATCTCTGTTTTCAACAACGTAAAAACGAAGTGCATTGTTCGAGTGTAAAAGTTTTTCTCATATATTGTTGTTTTTAACGACTCGCACTGCATTTTTCTATATCTACTTCAAGTGAACAATACATTTCTGTATTTTCATTAAAAATAATTATATATTTTTATATTAATTTAAAAATTTTAAAAACAATAAATATAAGTTTATATAACATAATGTTACAAAGTAGAATGAATAATAATTATTTATAGGTACTAATTATATTAGTACATTTAGTTTTATAATAGAAAAATATATTCAACTAAATATAAATTATTAATATATATAAATAAATTAAAAAGTATATTTTTTTTTAAACTAAAAAATTTATTTGTTTCAAGTGAAAAATTTATTTAATGTTTATTTTAATTTATTGTTTGAAATTTAATATTTTTCTTTTAAAATAAGCGTATATTTTTTCAAAGGCTACTAATTCTTTTATTTATTTCTAATAAATATTTTATTTGTCACAAATTAATTTATTTTTGAGTAAATATAAGAATTTTTTTGAAACGAACTTAATTCATTTGAACAAAGAAAATTTATTTGTAGCAAATAAATGTTCATTTGAACCAAATTAATAATTTATTATGTAAGTAAAATTTATTTGTAATAAATAAATTTACATGTGGTTGGAAGAATCTCTGGTAGGGAAAAAATGTTTTCTGTGTATAATTAAATTAAATTCAATTTATATGAAATTAAGATAAATAATAAGATAAATTGAATCGCATTTAATTAAATTAAAGGAAAAAACAACAGTTCTTACAGAAGGAAAACTACTTTTTCCCTTGTAAAACAAGATTGTAAGTAGTAAAATCCGCAATTTGTCAGACAAAATTATTGGTAGTCAATTGAGTAGAAGTTGAACAGTAGTAAACCCAGGTTTTGGTCAGCCGAGAATTACTTTTTTTCCAGTTGAACTAGTTTGTAAGTAGTAAGGTCAGTGTCTGGTCAGACGAGAAGATTTTTTTCAGTTAAGTACAATTTTTCCTTGTTTATGTCTGACTAAATATTACTTGTACTACTGAAAAAACATGAAAAGAAATTAGTCTATATTTTTTGTTTCCTAATTTCTAAATTAAAGATATGACTAAAGTTTCTCCCCTATAGAAAAGTAAATTTTTGCTTTTGAATTCGTAAATTTTACTAACTGATTAGTAGAAATGACTAATTTATTAGTAAACTTAACTAATTAAAAAGTAGAAAATACTATTTATTAGTAAAATTTATTAATTCAGTAAATTAGTAAATATTACTAATAAATTTGTAGAAATTACTATAAATTAGTAAATTTTACGAATTAAATAGTAGAAAATACTATTTATTAGTAAATTTTCCTAATTAAATAGTAGAAAATACTATTTATTAGTAAATTTTCCTAATTAAATAATAAAAATTACCATTTATTAGTCAATTTTACTAATTGAATAGTAGAAATGACTATTTATTAGTAAATTTTACTAATTTTGTATAAATTACTATAAATTAGTAAATTTTACTAATTTTGTATAAATTACTATAAATTAGTAAATTTTACTTGAATAAAAATTATTTAGTGCAAATAAATATTAATTTGATGGAGATAAATATTTATTTGATACAGGTAAATATTTATTTGATAGTGATAAATATTTATTTGATAAAATCCGAGTAATTTTGAATTAAATAAGAGTTTAATAAAAGTTATTGAAATCAAAGTTATTTGAATCGAATAAGTATTTATTTCAATGTAAAAAGTTAAAAAAAAAAAAAAAAGTAAAAATATTTCAATATTAAATAACGTCTAAATATAAAACATGAAAAATTATTGATAGAAATATTCTTTTGATATTATTTTTATAACTGCGAAGAAAATAGAGAGAGAGAGAGAGATTTTTCTTATATAGTCTATATGGTGAATTGCAAAAAAATGAAACTTTATATATGAATTCCTGCGAGAGTTATAAATGTCTTTGTGAGAATAAAATAAATGTTGTTATCAAAACAGGGCAAAGAGTAGAAAGCAGGTCTTGAGAGGCTACAGTCCATGTGCAGCAACAAATGGCCTTTCTTCACGTAGGGCAAGTAAATCGGAAAGAAGAGCTGACAGAACGACAAAAATGTTGGTCGCTGTACTTTTACTTTTTTTAGTGACTGAGATTCCCCAAGGAATTCTTGGACTTTTATCTGGTGTATTAGGCGATTGTTTCTTTAGAAATTGTTATCATAATTTCGGCGAAATAATGGATATTCTTGCACTTATTAATGGGGCAATTAATTTTATTTTATATTGTTCAATGTCACGACAATTTCGCACGACATTTGGTCAACTTTTTAAACCACGAATCATCAAAAAATGGCATCCAACGTCACAGCAAACGGAAGTGCACAGTACTTTTGTATGATTTCTTTTATTTTTATATAGGAAATTTACCTTCAGTTTTTAATTTCGATTATTTTTTTTTGAATAATAGTATTTAAATGTAATTAATAAATTTAATATTTGTATTATACTGAGAAAATATTGAACCTAATTCGAGTAGAAAAATAATTTTACACTGAAAACAAAATTCGTTTGGTTCAAATAAAATTTTATTTGATTCAAATAAAAGATTACTTGAATCAAATAAACTTTTATTTGGTTTAAATATACTTATTTAATTCAAATAAAAATCAAATAGAAAATATTTGATACGAATAATTTTTATTTGATTTTTGTTTTGATTCAATTTCAATTTGATTTTTATTCGATTCAATTTAAATTTAATGTAAATTTAATTCAAATAGATATTTATTTAAACAGGGTTGCCACAGGTTAGGGAAATCAGGGAATTCGGGGAATTCAGGGAAAAGTCAGGGAAAAATAAAATAAAATTTTTGTGGCAACCCTGTTAAATAAAATAAATTTTTATTAGTGCAAAAATATTCTTAAAATTTAAAGAAATGAATTTTTCAGTGTAAAAGTTTGTACCTCTATAAAGAGTTAATTATTAAAATAAACGACTAGAAAGGGTTAAATAATATATTTTTATCTTCGAAAAGTGGAAATAAGAAAAAGGAAATTATTATCCTTGGGAAAAGTTGGAAAATTTGACAAAATTGTGTACAACTTTTTGAAAGTGTTTGTCGTAATGTAAAAGTTTCAGGTACGAGTTTCTGTGTTAATATTTTACTTTCATCAAAGTCAAACTGCAAAGTTTTAAAAGAAACCCCATCTCAGTCTTCCACTTCGGAAAATATTGACTCTTTATTATACTAATTTTATAAGTTATCTTTTATATTAAAGTAACACTGTAAATTTTAAATTTTTTAATTTAATTAAATCACAAAACAATATAATTATGTTTTTATCCTTCGGGAGGATTTGTCTAGTTTGGAAAAATATTTATTTTATTTTTTATTGATATTTTACTGTCGAAAAAATTTAATTATTATTTTTTTTTAATTTTTAAATATTTTTATTTATTTATTTTCATAATATTTTTTTTATTTATTTTCTTAATATTTCTTTTTACTTTTTTTAATATCTTTTATATTCTTAGTATTTTTTTTGTCTTTGCTTTATTTTCCATTTTTTGTTTTTCAACTGTTATTCGAACTGCAATTATGAAACTGCCAATAAAATTATTGATATATTGGAAAATCAACGATTTATGTAAATATTATTTGTGAATATGTAAAATTTAAAGTACAGGGTTTATAATACACCTATAAAATAATATTTAAATGTTTTAATCATAATGTGGCATATGATAATTACAATAATATCGTGAATATTGAGAAAATTATTACAAATAATTCTCTTGCAGTATCGGTTAACCCTTTATTATTAAAATATCAAAAATAATAATAATAATAATAATAATAATAATAATAATAATAATAATAATAATAATAATAATAATAATAATAATGAAGTTCATTAGATATTCTTTGTAAAAATACCATTTAGTTCAACGATTGATAAGATATATTAACGTGAAAAAGTAAAAAAAATTGTAAAGATAACACGAAAATAATATTAAGGTTTAAAAAAAATTGTTTTTATATGCATAAATATTGTTTAAAGCAGACGAATATTAGGTATTTCATTAAAAATTTAATTATTGATAGCAAAGCGATGTAAATTTGTCAAATTTGCTCAAAATATTGATATAAGCAAAACTTTATTATTTTTGAAAATCGATTTTTTATTGTTATACCGTACAATTTCATATATATTTTGTAATTTTGTTTAAAAGGTAAAATTATAATTTATATTTATAATAATAATAGTAATAATAATAAAACTAATAAAAATAATAATAATAATAATAATAATTACGATTATAATTATACTAGTAATAGAAAAAAAGAAAACAATAGTAAAAATAATTTTTTATAAATTATTGCTATTTAATTTATTGAATAATTTTTTATTTTTGTTGAAATTATTGTTTTTTTGTTTTTATTCTATTTTATTTAAATATATATTTAAAAAAAAACTTTACTTAAAAAATAATAATTGAATAATTTTCCAGAATATTTTGTATTTTTATTTTAGAGTAAAAATTAATTATTTTTATCAAATAAATTATTACTTTCAGTGGAGTAGTTTTAAATTTAATTTACAAATATCTGAATGCTCGCAAATGAATTTTCATTTTTCAATCATTATTGATAATGAAAATAAAGAAGCTTACGTTAATTGTATTTTTAACTTGTTTGCAAAGCAAAGCTTTATACTTTGACCATTTATAAAGACTTTCTTTTAATATACAATTTTTATATCTCTCCTAATTTTTTTTTATTTTTTTGCTTCCGCAAAAATAATTCTATTCAATTTCCCATCAATTATATAGTTGAGAAGCTTTTTCAATTTAATAGAGATATAAATTTAAATAATTAAAGTAGTCTTTTTACATTTTTTGTAATTGGATTAATTAATAAAATATTTTTTATAATATTAAATAATAATAATAATAATAATAATAATAATAATATAATAGTAATAATAATAATTAAAAATTATTCCTTAACATTTCTTTTTTTTGTATCAATTTAGTTATTTTAAAAAAAATGTTTTTTGATTTGAAAACAAAATTTTATTTCTGCATTTCAATTTACAAAGAAATATCAAATTTTCTTCTTTTCACATTACGAGAGAGATAACCGTGAAATTAAATTTTGAAATGCTTCGCATCAACGACAAGTTTTGAAATCTTTTTGCAATAAATATACAATTGTCTATAGAATTTTTGTTGTGACAATAAAATGAGTTTCCATTGCTGAAAATTATTTTTCATTTGACGAGACAAAGCTTCATTCATCAATATTTAAAGAAAAGGGAAATTTTGTTGTCTTTTATTTTTCAAAATAGGTGAAAAAAAAAATTCATCACGCAACGCTTATTTTTTGCACCGAATCACCTATTCACAATGTCAATCATATTTAAATTTGAACAATTTTTTATACTCATTTTTTATATTTTAGCAGTATTTATTTTTTGATTAAAAGCTATTGAAAAATCAACATTGTCTGTTTTTGTTAGCTACAAAAAAGTTTTTATTGTTAAAAGGAGAATAAATAATATGTCGATGCGTTAAGAATTTAAATTGAAATTTTATTTTAAAAAGTTATTGACACAATTTTAAATAAATGTTTTCTTTTTATATTTTACAATTGAATATTTTTTTAAAGGTTTTTCGAAACCATTATTTAAAAATTGTTTTTTTCTCTCAAGTCCAAATACGTAAGTAACGTTCGATATAAAAAAAAGTATTAATATAAATTAATAACAAAAATATAATAAAGTTTTTGTAAAAATTATAAATTTTATTTAAAAACACAACAAATGATAATGTTCTTTTTGCAATTTTCGATTATAATTAATAATGAAGTAAATAATATAAATCAATCGATAGAGGAAAAATAATAAATTTTAATAAAATTTGAAACAAAAAGTACACCTAGTAATAAATTTCTTTACTAATATCGTTGTGTATTTTAATTAAAATTTATTATTAACATCGTTAAAATAATTTTAGGAACAAGAATAATGAATAATTAAATATGAATAATTGTTGTGTGCGTATGAAAAAATATTATGTAGATGTGTATTTCTTTATGAAAATTTTTTAGAATATAAAATTTTTTCCTTAATTTTGAATTTTTGAATTTTGTATTATAACAACAAAAAAGTGTAAATAAATTGAAAATTATCGCTTAAGTCTTCACTTTAAAAATTTACATATGAAATGGTGGAAAAAATTATTGAACGACTGAAATATTATTGTAAGTTTGTATATAACAAATCGTGAAAAAAAATTATAACTTGTTGTGATGTATGTACAAAATATAAATATTTTTTGTTCTCTTTTCAAAATTGTAAAATAATTTTCTTTTTTAATCTGCACGGATCACTAGCTATTGAGCCCAGCTGGAAATCTGAGCATTTAATGTAAATATTGTAATTACATGTAAAAAAGAAAATAATATGTCTTACGAAATAAACAAAAAATTATTTCATGTGCTTTCATATTATTAAAATTTTTTAATTTAAATTTTAGTTTTAAATGAATAATAATAATTATTAATAATTAATAATTAATTAATTAATATATTATTAATAATTTTTTATTATTAAAAGTTTATTAAAATTTAAATAAATAATATTTATTTATATAAGTTTATTTACTCTCCCTGCAGTCGCAGGGTTCGAGACTCTTTACAAAAACAATTAAAAGAATTAGTTTTTTATAAATATTGTAATGTAATTTTTCGAAAATAATTGAATTTCTTAAACGAATTTTTGTATAATTTAAAAAAAAACTAATTAATTTTTCAAACAATTTTAATTAAAGATTTTGAACATGATTTTTTTTCTCCAAAATGTTAAAAATAATTCTAAAATGTTATTATTTTTTTAATGTATTTGAATTTTGGAAAACATGTAATAAAAAATATTGAAAGTAATTGGATTTTTGAAAAATTATAATAAAGAAATTCTGAGAATTAGTTTATTCAAAAATATTTTAATATTATTTTTATAATCTAATTATTATTAATTTTTATTAAATTTACACTTGAAGTATTTTTAGTGTTTATTTGTACAAAGTAATTGGAGGGACAATTTAGAATGTGTAATTGATTGTTGCAGTATAATGTCAATATTTTGTATGGGTTTCTTAATATTTTCCGTTTAGGTCTTTAAACATAAAAAAGTAATTATTCAATACAATTCGTAATTCATATTAATAAATATTAAAAAATAAGTAGAGTGTAATAATTTTGATGAAAAATTTCTATTTATTCAACTAATAATTATAGTAATTTGCACAAAAATAAATTAAGAGTAATCTATTTTTTGTCACATATTTTTTTCATAATTCATCATCATCATTTTTTCATCTCTTTAAATTTGAATTAGTATAGAAACTGAAAATGCTTACTAATTTCAATTAGTGACTAACCGTTTGCTTTTGAATTAGTAAATTTCATTAATAAATTTAGTTGTTACTAGGTAGTAGTTCGACTTTATTATTTCGTAAGAATTTTTTTTTTAAGAGGAAAACATATACA